AACCAACCAACCAACCAACCAACCAACCAACCAACCAACCAACCAACCAAAAACAACAACAACAACAACAAAAAAAACAAAACCACCTTCCCATTTTCTTTATAAGCCTAAAGGGCTCAAAGATTAAATGAAACAAAGTCAAATTTTCTGCAGTTACCTCATATTATGTATAATGAATAGTAGTTTTACCAAAACCAACCTTTAACTCTTTCGTCTCCTGCAGCAAGGCAGATAGTCTCCCTTCTACATCAGTAGTTTTAGCAGCTGCCACATTCTCACATTCTCCTTGTATAGGAACTGATTTTGTCTGAAAATAGAAATTTGAAAAAAAAAAAAAGTCTGTTTAAAGTTATAAATGATACAAACTCTGTGTGTATATCTTCTTGCCAGTTTGGAGTTTTATTCCAAATGAGAAAAAGTAAGAGTCTTCAGGTATTTCTGTGAAAGCAACAACCTGCTCTGACAGACTAGCTGTCCCATGGTGGAGCAGTGTTAAACCTCATCAGCAGACAAGGAAGGTAAGGCTCAAGACTCAAGACCAGTGCAGAAAAGCAAGCATCATTTCAACAGCTCTAGTGTGGCATCTCATGAGCAGAGACTCAACTTTATGCCTTCTACATTCCTGAAGCTAAGAACACAACAGTCACATTAGACATTAGTCCAACCTAATGTCATCACTTGGTGATGTATTTTAAGTGTTCTATGAATCAAAAAAATGTCAGCACCCACCCTTTCTCTATAGAATACCAGAGAGTGGGGTACTGATAGAACAAATAGATAAGAATGTGAAAGTGGCTTTGCAGCAGAGCAATGGACTTTTGAGTTTATATTAGACAAGGCTTACAACACTTCAAAGAAACTACTGATAAGAATATGAACATCAAAGGGAATTCTGAAAAGGATTCAAAAAGAAAAGACGGGTTATAGAGAAAATTTTTAGTTTTGTGCACATACATGAAGAGAATGTTGGTAGAAGTATTAAAGCTAAACATGTTTCTGGTGAGGTCACAGAGGGAAATGGAAAGCATGTGATTGGGAATTAAAGGAAAGACAATCCTTGTTATAGAGCAGCAAAGAGCATGGCAGAGTTGTGGCCTGGTATTTGGAAAGAACACAGATCAATTGACCAGTCAACCTGTTGCTCCATGTATCTGTTAAAATGCGCCTGGTAAAGTTGTGCAAGCTGTCTAACTCAGTTATCACTATACCTGGCATGGTAAGTGGGTAACCCAAATCACCTATATAACTGATATTCCTAAACAAAGAACTATAGTGCAGTCTCATTTCTCTCTGCTGTTTATAGTAAACTGTAAGAAGAGAGAGAGAGAAATTTACAAGTGAGTTCATAAAAATAAAGATTTTGACATTTTCAGCTTTCCCAGATTGCAAAATATGAGGAAGTGTACTCTGGGAAAAACACGAGGGGTCTGCATCACCTTTAGCAAGCAACCACATGCGTGGATGCAGTCAACCCTCTAGGCACAGGCCAGAGATGAGGTATGTGGAGGGCTTTCTTGTGTGACAGTTTGGATGTATATGGGATTTTGGTAACTTTGTAGCAGCAGGGAAGCTGTCAGTTTGGATGTAAAGGGATGGAAATGGAATGTTACATCAGTGAAACAAACCATTCATAACTAAACAAACGAATCCATACAGTAATTTAAAAAAAAAAAAAAACCACAAATAAAAACAGAAGAAGAAAAGGCTGCCAGGAAGCCCGTCCCTGTAACTTTAGCTAATGAGCAATGAAGACGGTGGCTGAGAGAAGATGGAAGAGAAGACAAGGATGACTCACCAAGACTTCGGCTCTCTGTAGCAGCTCATGGTTTTCTGCCTGGAGTCTGGTAATCTCAAGAGACTGTGAGCTTAAGTGGGACTTTAATGTTGCCACTTCCTGAAAACAAGAACAGCAGAGTTGTGGTGCACACAGCATTGGTTTCTAAGGGAATGTCCGTTTACAGGAGGAAAAATCTTTTTTTGACCCTATCTTCAAAAATCATAACTTTCAAGTTTTAAAATTTAATTGTTGAGAATTACTCTTGATGTTGGTTCAAGATGGAAAATGAAACGCTTTTATTTATCTCTGTAAGAAGAGAGAGAGAAATTTACAAGTGAGTTCATAACAATAAAGATTTTGACATTTTCAGCTTTCCCAGATTGTAAAATATGAGGGCGTGTGCTCTGGGAAAAACACGAGGAATCTGCATCACCTTTAGCAAGCAACCACACGTGTGCATGCTTATGTCCATATGTCCTCCCCCTCCCACCAAAAAATCACAAAGGGAGAACAGGGAAGAAAGGAAGCCAGGCAGGCAGGTAGGCATAGGGATAAGTAAATCGGGAAAATGAGTCTGGAGAACTTGAGAAGGAAGTGCACAGGCAACTGAAAACAGAAACCTGAAGGCTAGGCTGACCATAGAGAAAGTTAAAGCCAGCAGCTGATTTATAAGGAATCTAACTTCCTGGTACCCTTACTATCTTTAGAAGAAAAGTTTTGTAAAAATGGGGTGTAAGAACTGAGGATTGGTTCAAAGTCTATTTATGAGACAGCCATCAGATCCCTGCCAAATCTCATGCCTCATTACTCCTGGCTGAAGCCTACACACTTAGTGTTTGCAACTCAAAGCAGAACAGCTTTGGGTTAGGGGCCATCACACATGACAGTGGCAATGCTACCATGAAAATGAGGCAAGAAATTGCTAGTTTATATTGTTAAACTTTCTGATGGTTATTGCCCTCCTCCCACACAATTGCAATGATAGAAAAGCCATTTAAATGGTAGCTCCCACCCAGTGATGCTCGCTGCCCCTCAGGACATCTGGCAATGTTTGGGAGACTTGACGGGTGATAAGGTACAGGCATGTAAATGATGCTTCAAATATCTATTGTGTATACATGTCTCTTCTTTAATTACTTTCTATTGCAAAAAAAAAAAAGTATGCTGACAATATTATGAATAATTTTTGTTCTTGTATTTATTCTCATTTTTGTGTGTGTATGGTCTGTATATGTGTGTATGTGTGTGTGTGATGACATGGCCTTGGGGGCCTGCATGAAGGCCAGAGGTTGGCCCTGGGTGTCCTCTACTTGGTCTCCACTTTATTTTTGAGGCAGTTTCTCACTGAGCCTGGGGCTGTTTTGGCTAGACTGGATGGAGAGCCATCTCCCAGGACTGAGCTGTCTTAAAGGCATGTGACAACACATCTACCTTTCTCTCATATGGGTGCTAGGGATTCAAATTCAAGTTCTCATGCTTGTGTAGCAAGCATTTTACCTACTGAGCTACACATCCTGTCTCTATGCAGCATCTTATAATTTGTAATATAAACCATAAAACCCTATGTCACTAGATAAAGCTATCACTTAAAAAAATGTCTATTGGCCAGACATAGTGGTGTATACCTTTAATGTCAGCATTTGGGAGGCAAAGGCAAGAGAAGGCACGCTGTGGCCATGTCTCAGTCTGTGAGTGAGGCTGCTGACTACCAGAGGAGACAGTAGTTAGCACAGCAGCACAGCTTGGTTTCTGATCATTTTTCTTTGCAAAATATCTATACATTCCTTTATAACACAGAAAGAAGGAAGGATGGACAGAGGAGAGAGATAGAAAGAAGGAAACTTAGAAACAAGAAGCTAGGCTAGCAAGATGGCTCAGTGAGTGACTACCTGAATGCAGTCCTACGATCCACATAGCAGGGGAGAACCAACTCCCTGGAGCTGCCCTCTGCCTTCCAGATGTGCACTTTACAACATAAGCTGTACACACATGCACACATTTATAGCACAATGACTAAATGGAAAATGTAATGACTAAATGTAAAAAGTTTAAGACAAACCAGTAATAGACAAAACATTAGTGTCAAGGTAAACAGCGCTTCAGGATTCTCAAAGCTTGTGTCAATCACCAAATTTTGTTGTTCCTGACAATGGAGTTCTGGAACAAGGCAACTGCAGGGTGTTACTTCACTGGGACTGACCCAAGACAAGACAGAACTGGGCTCACGCAGCAATATTACCTGCTTTAACTCTGCAACCTGCTCGGGATCTGAGGGTGAAGCTGATGCTGAAGTCTGTTTGTTCATGCCAGATGCTTGCGAAGATTTCTACAATTAGCACAAAAATAACGATGAAACAACTTAAGCCTGGGAAGAAAGGGAGCCAAAGCAGAGTACGCCTCCAGGCAGGTCCTGCAGAGGCTCCCCAAGATCTCAGAGACTACGGTTTACAAGTCTACGGTCTACTCCAGCATGGCGCTGACACAGTTCAGGAGCTACACTCATGGATCTAAACACATACCTGAACTTGCAAGGCCCAAGAGCTTAAAAACTGACATTCACTCAACTACTTCCACATTAAAACTCTATCTCATTTTAAGTGTGAGGAGCCAATGGGATGGCTCGGTGTATAATATGATCTGTATGTTATGTCATATGATCAAGCCTGGCAATAAGATTTTGATTCCTGAGATCCACAGGGTCAAAGAAGAGAATCAACTTCTGAAACTCTCCTTCGGCCTCCACTCTGTGGCTTGACTGTGCCTGCGCAACACACACACAAAGTGCAAAATAAAATCTCTAAACCACACAATCCCTATTTTTTTAAAGAAATAATCCCTATCACTTAAGAAAAAATAAAAAATTAAAAGAAACAAGCTGAGTGTAGTGGCTCAAGAGTTTAATCCCAGCAGAAATAGCAGGTCCAGTCTGGCCTACACAGCAAGTTCTAAGAAAATCAGGGCTCCACAGAGAAACCCTGTCTCAAGACAAAAAAAAAAAAGGACATGAGCTGGTGACAGTGGCACTCATTTTTAATCCCAGCATTCAGGAGGCAGATCTCTTGAGTTCAAAACTAGCATGGTCTACATAGTGAGTTTAGAAGCGCCAGGCCAGGCCATGGGGGTGCACACCTGTGATCCCAGCAGTTGGATCAAGAATTTATGATCACTGAGTTGGCTCAAACTGTCAAAAACAAAACCAAACCAGGGCTGGGTATAGTGGTACATAAATTTTGTTTTGTTTTCTTTGAATAGGGTTTCTCTGTGTAGCCTTAGCTGTCTTAGACTTGATTTGTAGAGCAGACTGGCCTCAAAACTCACAGACATCCACCTGCCTCTGACTCCCTGAGTGCTGGGATTATAGGCATGTGCCACCACGCATAGCTTTGGTACACATCCTTCAATCCAGCTCTCAAAATCTCTGTGAGTTCAAGGCCAGCCTGGTCTACATAAGGTGTTCCAAACCAGAGCTATACAGTGAGATCCTGCCTTAAACAAAACAAATAAACAAACCCAGAAAAACAAACAAGCAATATAATGAGAGTTACTCTTAATCACTTATTTATATTTCTTTTTTAACATTTACTTACCAAGTTTTCGATCAAAGAGTCCTTTTCAGCTAGCTGGCTTTGTAAGAGCTCCTGATGACTTTTTAAGTCTTGTATCTCTTCTCTCAGCCGGCTGATTTCTTCTGGCTGAATGCCATTCACCTGAGCCCCATCACCGTGAGAACTTTGATGGTGATTGTCTTTTCCTATTAAACATGCATGACAATGGGAAAAGCTGGCATGAATCAAGCTTGCCATCTTCGAGACCAGAAGACTACAGTATGAGATCACATGACTCCAGTGAATGTCTCCTTAGTGGGGAGACTGGCAGGGAGATCACAATGGTGCTTCCCCTGGCAGAGGGCACTGATCTGTTTCAGGGGGGTTCTTGATTCAATTGTATGGTTTGGTGAACTATGACTAAGAATTACACTAGCTTAAATTCCAATTCTGACAATAAACATAAGAGAGGTCAAATCTTCTCAGAGGAATAGCTACCCACTTGCATTGAACTAAAACGAAAAAAATTGTAAGGAAAGACAAATCTCTAGAAATGTCATCCACCTCGCAGAAATAAACTTGTTACTTTCAAGTACCTAGCATTCTCATCACAAGGCCCTGCAAGATGCTGCTCTCTACAAACATGTGAAGTCTGGCAATGTGGCTCACTGAACAGCACCACCCTCACATGCACAGAGAACACCGCTGGAGCCCTAGCACCACAAGAGAGTAAGAGACAGAAATGTGAATTCTCTTTTCCCCCCGGTGTCCTACTGTCTGAGGTTAGAACTGGTGGACGGGAGGCAGCAGGCACCAAAGACATGATGCCAAGAGGCTCAGAGCCCTTTTCTTCTAATCCTGTACATAATGAGGAGTGAGACCATAGGCCTGGGCCCCACCAAGAAAAGGAGGGGTTACAAGGTTAGGCCCAGATCCCTGAAGCACCCAAATGCCCACACACAACTTCTGAGAAAAGCATTCCTTCGAAAGGAAGACTGGGAATACATATCTGCCTAGGACTGAAGTAGAATTTTGTATTTACTATTTCATTTAATTTCCAGATGACATGAGTGCTATTATTTTAATTTTGGAACTGAAGCAACTGGAACACTGTATCAGTCAATCTCAAATAGCCTGTGGGTTATATCACCTGGGGAGACTATCACGATGAGTCAAGGCATAGTGTGTCTCCAGCGTCAACAATCCCTTGATCAGGCATCAAGCAGGAAGCGTGGAGACTGGACCTCATACTGGAACGATCTGGTCTTAGCTACTCTTTTAATTACAAGCCATCCTGCACTAAGTTCTGTGATCACGGCTGGAGAACATGCAGTCCCCAGAGACTCCATCTGTGCACTCCGAGGACACAGTGACCTGGACACTCACCAAGCTGAACCTTGAGAAGATTGTACTGATCCTTGTGCTGCTGAATCTGAGACGCTTGCTGTGTGACTGCCGTCTGCAGCTGCTCATTCTGACATTTCAGCGTGGAAACTTGCTGCTTCAGTTCCTCCAGCTGTAGGTCCTGTGAAACACACATCATTCAGATATTCTTAGTTCATACACTAGGTACACAAATAAAATACACAGGCTTTTCAAGATCAGTATGTTAAGACGCTCAACATTTACAAAATCAACAGCACTAGGACTTGACTATTTGTGCAAAGCCAGTCATCATGCCGAGGTTTCAAGGTGCTCTGCTGCTGAACACCATGGCACAGCCTGCAATCTTATTCATTTTGGGGCCATGAAACCATTTAAGGAAGTATACCAACCTACTTAAGAAACTTAGTAAATGAAGATACACATATGCATCTGTATGATTTAAATTTATTACATTTACTTGTTTATATGTGTGTGAGCATATGTGCAAGGGCACATGTGTGAAAGTCAGAGGAAAATTTGTAGGAGTTCTGTTTTTCTGTCTTTGGTTCTGTCCTCTGAGCATGTCAGAAAGACCAACTCCTCTGGCCTCTATAAACAACTGCACTCATGTGCATATAATCATATACAGATATATGTAATTAAAAGTAAGTCAAGTAAATGAAAGAAAGAAAGAAAGAAATGGGGCCACAAGCAGACCCCATTTTTCTACACTTGGCATAGTCAGTTCATATATAAACTTAGAACATTTAGATAGCTTACTAATTGTCCACACTACTATACAGTTTTCACAATCATAATTTTAAAAAGTATTTTATTTATTTCTGGGTGTGTATGCGCCCTCTTCTATCACACTTTGCCTATTCTTTTGAGGCAGAATCTTTCCCTGAACATATGGCTCATGTTCTCTTGGCTAGGCTGAAAGCCAGCAAGTCCCAGTATTCCTGTTTTTGTTCTGCTCCAAGCTGGGGTTACGGAGCACTGGGCACCTAGTCTGTTGTATGGGTCCTAAGATCTCAACTCAGTCTTCATGAGTTATCTTTTCAGCCATAATTTTTAATTCTCATTTAATATCTGATCAAGCAGGTATAAATTATATTAAATGTTTTCAACACTAAAATTAATTTTACCTTTCAAAATGATGTTATTTTGTAAGTATATTTGTTCAGTTAACATTTTTCTTGAATTTTGGAGAATTTTCTTAGGATGTCATTCAAGGGAAATAAACATTTTACAGTTCTAAATGTTTTTACCGTCTGACATGATTTAAGTGGTGAAAATATATAAAATTAACATTTCAGTCTAGGTGTGGTGGCAAGTGCCTATAATCCCAGCATACTAGGAGGGAGAGACAGGGAGATCTCTGTGAGTTCAAGGCCAGCCTGGTCTACAGAGTGAGTCCAGGACAACCAGGGCTACACAGAGAAACCCTGTCTTGAAAAACAAAACAAAAAAATTTGTCAGAACACTTTACTCTTTCTAATCAACTGTACTTATCAAGCCCAGATGGAAGCTACATACCACATTTCAAAAACGCTACATTTATAAACTAAAAATTAGTGTATTTAAATCAAGACAAATTAAAAATCCATAATTGGAGAAGTTTGAGGACTTAAATTTTGAGCAAAGATTGATTGTGGTTTACTGATTTGGCTGAACATTGAAAAGCTGAGAGCAAACACTAAGAATTCAATTACATTTTCAATCTCAATCATATATATTGTGAGGAAGAAAAAAAATACCATATCGGTAAGAAGATAAACCTATCCCACATTGGCTGTTACATTTCTTTTATGACATTAGAATTTTAAAGACATCAGCAACTTAATTTTCTAGACAATACTATAATCCTTTACAAAATTCTATCACAGTGTATAAGAAAGAAACTGAATGACACTGGAAAGGCTACAACAGGGCTTAAGGTGTGCTACACAATGTGAGTGAAGGACAGTGGCCAGCACTGTGAAAGGAGAGCGTCAACTAGAGACTCTGGCAACAGAGATCTGGTCTAACTCATCACCGACTCTCCAGAACTGCCTGTCTAATGACCATGACAGAAAGTGGGGATCACACCTTATCCTTCTGCACCTTACCACCTGCGGAGAAACACTGCCAAGTCCTGCCAAGTTTCCTCTTCAGTTTACATACCTCTCATCTGTCCCTGCCACACTACACAGTATGAGCTGTACACTGTCACTAACACACATGTACTTGAATTCTATTCTAACAATTACTGAGAGCTGCTGGGAGAACTCACTAAGTCAGATTCCCCATTTATCCCAAACTGAATATAGTTACTACTTGTAGAGATGCTGTGAAGAAATAAAATAGTATTTAAAGGACACTGAGTTCAGAGAACCCAGCAAACTTGTAAGGTAGTTACTATCACCATCACTGTTATCAAGATCCTCCCCTAGCTGACCACAATAACCTTTTTCCTGGCCTCCCTCCCTCCATGTTCCCCACTCAAATGTCTCCTTTTCACAGCCAGGAAGCTGCTCTGGTGCATGTCAGCCACAGAAGACTTACTATGCTGTATGCCATCTCCTGCCACTAGCTCTCTTATGGACAGTGTGTTCTTAGGTTCTCTCAGAGCTCAGTCCGAGTGCTACTGCACCTTAGATTAACTATTAGCTCTAGCACAAGGCTTAATATGCTATAACATATATATATGCCACAATAATTTAGATGTTTGTCTCACCCTGAAACTGCTCCATGTTTTGATCTATAACATCCTACACAGTGCCCAGCACATAGTACGCATTCAATCTAGGAAAGAGATGCTTTGGAAGATAATGAGGTTTACTTTCTGTATCCCTCTTCCATTTGAGATGCCAAGCAGCAGCATCCCCTCAAGTAGAGTTGCTGCCAGTCAGCAGAGGACAATTGGTACTTACTTGTTCACGGATCATATTCTTATAGTGAGTCACAATGTTATCGTGCTGTTCTAAGGTTTTCTTTACCTCTTCCTCTTTCTTATCTTCTTCACTGGACTTATAAATGGCCTTGGTAATAACCCCTATAAGAGAAAACGTACTTTAACTCTGTACTGAATGGTTTTCTTGAGGCTCTGAAGACTGACTACAGGGTGCAAATGTTGTTCTTATTTCCTCAGCTGAGGGATGAAATGAGAGCCATATCCAAGCGAATACACAGCTTGGGCTGAGCCCAGAGCATTCTTTCTCTTTTCTATCTAGGCCTAGGCCGGGAAACTTCTAGCCTCTGTACAATCTAATCTTCTGCAAGCCTGGACCTTGAAGTTATCAGCTTCCAGCCTCCATCTGTCAACCTAGGCCTAGAATGTTTTCAGCTTCTGAGATTTACTGCTAAATAAGCTCACCCTTTCTAATTCTTTCTGAACTCTGGCTGGCTAGTTCAACTCAGCTGTTCTGGCTCAACACTGTTCTCTATGCTGATTGATTCAATGTGGCTTCTCATTGAATTGCTCTGCTTCGAAAAGGTGCCTCTGAAGTCCACAAACTAAACTGCACTGCATTGACTGCATGGAACTAACTGAATGGAAATTCACTGAAGAAACTCAACTGTATTCAACTGAAGTGAACTGCAACAAATTTAGCTGAACTCTCTCTCCCTGCATTGCTTGTAAGTAGCCTCTCTTCCTGTCTACTCTTGGGAGAGTTGGGCATGTCCTATCTCTGACTCATTCTGTCAAATTTTTCTCTGATTCATCGCTTTGTCTGCCCCTCAATTAGATATCACTGTTTGGAGTTAAAGGTGTGTACTAAAGGCATGTCTGTGTCCAGAAGAATCACACAGACCACTGACCACAAGGGATGTGATCCTTTGTCAGAGTAGCCACGTTGCTAAATGAAAATTCCCTTACAACATGTGCTATATGTGCTCAGTACCACGCACCTATTATGTCCTCAGCTTGACTTTCAGCATTATAACCTGACAATTTTTAAGTAAGCCTTTATAAAAATAACCTAACTCATGACAGTCATGTACTACTCTTCCTAATCTTAGAATCCAAAGTCTCTCCACGTGCTACAGATGAACTTCTTGGCTTATCACTCATCTGCATTCAGAAACACATACACACACAAAATGACTTTGGATCTTACCTTCAAGTTCTTTCACCAGCTTTGTAAACTCATGATCAAATATCATGTACTCTGGACTCGGAAAGTTTGGCTGGGGTTTCTGAGATGCTCTGGAATACAGCTCATGTTTGCTAATAAATCCTAGTTTCTCTATGAAATTCTCTTTGCCAATCCGCTTCTCTATTAGTTGCTTTAGTTTCTCTCTACATAGATAAACATATGGCATGCTTAAAAAATTGCAAAGTCATAAATTTGGTTTACTTATACTTTAGCAAAAAAAATGTACCATTCTCTCTGGATGACTACAGAACCATTTTGCCCTTACTTTGTGTAGTTTTCTAGTGAGTTATCGTTGAAATAAATTGAAATGCCCAAAAGGAGGGCACATAAGCCTTGGACCAACTGCTCTTCTTCTCCAAGATTTTCTGCAATTTGTCCTGTAAGCTGACATATTTGTTAAGGAGTTGAATACTTTATAATATATAGAATATTTTATTTTGTAATCTGAATTTAACATAAATCTTACATAAGATTTTCTGTAGGATATTCTGTCTATTCCACACCAGCATACCATAAAAACCTACACACACACACACACATACACACACACAGTTTAAGCATACAGAATTACATACCCATAACATTTTCAACCAAAATTGAAAGACTTACATTATTTCCATGTATGATACCAAAACATAAAGGATACAAATGGAACATTGGCTGAATTGTGAAGAAAATGTGTCACTGCAATAGGACAGTTGCTTAGCCAGGTACAAAGCAACATTAACAACCCGACTCTTGTCTGTATTTTGCTTCCCTGCAATAGAGAAGTTGGCAGAAACCACTTTATATTTACTATTTTTTAAAAATCAAAGTTAGCCTACAATCCCTTCACTTTTGTGTTAAAAGAATTTAAGCATCATGAGATGTATAAGAAAGCCAGATTTTAAAAACCGAACTAAAGAATACATTTTGTGTCTACCACAAGCTGCACTTTCCCAAATGAACACAGTGCAGAAATTAGGACTGATTCATAGGCACCAATACAAGCGGTTACTTAAAACAGCAGTGGTGGCTGGGCTGGCAACATAGTTCATTGATATAGTGCTTGTCTAACATGAAGGAAGCCCTGGGTTCCATCCTCAGCATTGAACAAAACCAGGTGTGGTGGTGTACACCTATAATCATACTACTTGGGAGATATGAGGGTCAGAAGTTTAAAGTCATTCTGGACCATGCAGTGGGTTCAAAGGCAGCCTGAGCTAGAGAAGAACCTATATAAATAAACAGTGGTAGAAAAAGACACTAAGAATAAAACTATAGTGTGGAAGCTTTAAAAGACAAATCCCAGGTCATATTATTAAACATAAAGGACCCATATAAAGCTGCGTGGGCTGGGAGGTGGGGAGGATCTGGGAGAAGCTGGGGAAGGAAAAACATGATCAAAATATGCTCTATAAAAATGTAATTAAAAAAATAAAAACAGCTACCAGGTGCAGTGGTGCACGCCTGTGATCCAGCACTCAGGGAGGCAGAGGCAGGCGGATCTCTGTGAGTTTGAGGCCAGCCTGGTCTACAAAGGGAGCCCAGGTCAGCCAAGGCTACATAGAGAAACCTTGTCTCCAAAACCCCAAAAAACAAACAAACAAACAAACAAACAAACAAACCCAAAAAGTTCTAAACAAATTAGTCTCCTTCCTTCCTTTGTTCCTTCCTGTCCTCCTTTCTTTCTTCCTTTTTAAATGAAAGAGGTTTTATTGGGGGGAAGGGAAGTAGAAGAGAGTCAGGGCCTGTATAATACCATGAGGGCAGAGAGACAGAGAGACAGAGATGGGGAAGGGGGCACCCCGACAGAGAAAGGGGAGAGAGACTGAAACAGTGAGGGCAAGAGAGCATGATATTTCTTTTTTAATTAGGAAAACAACAAGAGATTTTATTGAGAAGTGAAAAGGTAGATATACTGCAAGGGAACCTCAAACAGAATTTTACAAACAAGATCTTGATAAAAGAAAAAGATTGTCCCTTCTTCAAAAAACATCACACACACACACATACACGTGCATGCACACACATACACACCAGCAACTCACAAAAAGAATCTCCTAAATTATTTAGTCAAATTCCATGAGAACATATTATTCTCAAGTAAGAGAATGAAGAAACATGTGCAAACCTAGCGACAGCACACCAGGTAATTCTCCCAGGCGTATATACCTAAGGGAGCTCGGTTCACTGGCATCAAAAAATGCCTTGAGGGCTGGAGAGGCAGCTCAGTGGTAAGGCGCTCTGGCTGTTCTTTCAGAAGTCCTGAGTTCAATCCCCAGCAACCATACGGTGGCTCACAACCATCTAGATCTGTGCCCTCTTCTGTTGTGCAGGTGTACAAGCAGACAGAACATTGAATACATAATAAATAAATAAATCTTGAAAAAAAGAGAAAGAAATGCCCTGAACATACACTGTGCTGTTGCCAAGACCAGGTAAGCAATAGTAAAAATCATGTGTCCAAAAGGTTATGAGTTTTGAAGTTTTAATACATTTAGATATCTGTATAAAATTTAATACATTTAGATTTCTGTGTATGTTATTTCTAACATTGCCACTGCCCACTTCAGTTTTCTTTTTAAGAACAAAATCTGAAATAAAATAATCAAAATCAGCGTAGTAATGCATCATTTGGGGGAATTTTCTGAAAGTATCCAAATTATAATTATTCAGTGAAATGAAGCAGGAAATAAACTTAATTACTACTATGCTTTTCAAGTGCTCTTCTTAGATTTAAAATACACACACTTATTAATATGATGTGGGACAAGTGTCGCAGGGTGTGTGAGCACGTATGTGTATGTATGTATGTGCTCATGCCTGTAGGTCGGAGGATAGTTTGCTAGAGTTGGCTCTCTTCCATCATATATGTGTGTGTGCTTGCACAGACGTTCGTGTAGGTCAGAGGATAGTTTGCTGAAGTTGGCTCTCTTCTTCCATCTTGTGGGTACCAGGGTTTGAACGCAGGTCCTCAGGCTTGGTGGCAAGGGACTGCAACCACTGAGTTATCTTTCTGGTCCCTGTTCAAATTCACCAAGATTGTTCTAATTTCATAATCCTTGAGGTCTTAGTTTACTTATAACCTATTCTCAGGTGTATTTAATACTGATTAATTTCAAACTACTTTAAATGATCTTCCAAGTAGGTATCAACAAGAATTAGTTTTTACATGATTACCTTTTTCCTTGTTTTCACAGTATAGCTTTCTGTTACAGAAAATGGCAAGCTGACAACTCATTCTCAATTGAATACATGCATCATCTTGCTGATCTCCTTGATTATAGCATGGGCTTACCCTTGATAAGCATGGACTATAATACTGAGCTAGACCATAAGTCTCAAAGAGTTTTACTTTTGTAGAAATAATCTGATTTTTAACATCATATGGAAAAATAAACGAGTGGAAATAATTTTAAGGACACTGTGAAAAACAGTAATAAGGTGATACCACATCATGGAGAAATCAACAGAATCAAAGTCTAGAAATGGACTTGTACAAATGAGAATTTTAGTGTGTGGAAAGGTACCAAACAACCACCAGTGTGTTGCAGATAAACTTTAAAACACTGGGATAACTAGATAGCTACCTAGAAAAAAATCAGAAGGGGCTGCCAAGATAGTTCAGCAGGTGAAAGTGGATGCTGCCTTGCCTGGTAACTTAAGTTCAAACCCCCAAATCCATGGCAGAGAGAACTGATCCCCAAAAGCTCTCCTCTGACCTCTACACCCATACTATGGCACGTGTCCTAGATAAAGTAGGGAGGCAGACACACATGCATGCATGCCCACACAGACCAGGAGGATGGTAAGGTAAAACTTAAATCAGTGCATCTGTATCACATACAGTTCATTAAAAAATATGGGAGAGAGCCAGGTGTGACAGCTCACACCTTTAATCCCAGCAGATTAAAGGAGAGGCAGAGGCAGGTGCATTCAAGGCCATCCTAGTCTACAAAGCAAGTCCAAGACCGTCAAGACTAAAAGAGAAAGCCTATCTCAAAAAAAACAACCAACCAAAAACAAACAAACAAACAAACAAACAAGCAAACCAAAAACCAAACCAAAATAACAACAACAACAACAACAACAACAAAAAACCAAAACACTCATAGACATGATGACTGGAACTTATAGTGAAGGACCCTAGAACCCTTCAATATGGCCTTTTAAAGAATGACTTATAAAGCAGAAATCATAAAAGAGTGATTTTTTAAAAATCCACAGCATGGGCAGGAGAAATGGCTCAGTGATTAAGAGCACTTGTCGAAAGAAAAAGGGCATGCAAGAAAAAAAGAAAATACATAGCTGTAAGCCATATTAAGCACACCAGTTAAGCTCCTCAGTGTGAGCAGAGATTAGTAAGCACAGATCGAGCACACAGCTCCACAACCATGTGAACCATGGAGGAGACTTAGAGACAAAAGGAGACTGAAGTACCACTCACTGCATTCTGAGGATTCCCTCATTAGAAACCACAGAGTTGAAAGGATGAAAGAAAAGCCATAAATACAGATACACACTTAAACTGTTTATTTCTTATGAGAGGAAGGGAAGGAAGGAAAGAGGAGGGAGGGAGAGTGGAGAAACTGAGGGAGCACACGTGTACACTTGTGCTATATGTGTGTATACAGGATGTTAAGTAGCTTCCCTCTTTCTCCACCTTATTGGTTTGTTTGTTTGTTTGTTTATTTGAGTCAAGTGAGTCTCTCACTGGACCTGGACCTAGCTCATTTTTTGGCTAGCCTGGTTGGTGAGCAGGTCCCTGGGCCCCACCTTCTCCGCTCTCTCAGTGCTGGGGTCACATGCGCACACCACCATACTTAGCTTTTATGTGGGTTCTAGGGGATCAAAACATAGGACCCATGCTTGTGTGGCAGGCACTTTATTCACTGCGCCATCTCACCAGCCCTTTTTGTTTTTCTGTCTGTCTGTCTGAGCCAGGGTCTAGATGTGCATCTCTGGCTTGTCTGACCTCACTATTTATACCAGACTGGCCTCACACACACAGTGATCCTCCTGAGTCTGCTTCCAAAGTGCAGGGGTTACAGATGTGTACCACCATGCTCACGTATAAATAAAACATGTGAGGTTAATTCAAATAATCTTTAATGTCAGTGATTACGCTCTTCGACTACATTTTATAAACAAAAAATCCTTCTCATCCCTACCATGTTCATTCAAGTTGAGCATTTTGTTTATGTAACTAAAATGCTGGCACTTAAAACTTTTAAGGTTTTTGCATGAAAATAAGGTTCCATAAGTTGGACATAATAGATCTACATATAATCACAGCACTGGGGAGGTAGACGCAAGAAGGTCAGGCGTTTAAGGCCAACCTTAGCCACAAAGTGAGTTCAAGGCCAGCTTGGCTTACATGAGACCCTGTTTCAAAACCAATAAAAAAAAGAATAAGAGTACTGATGAAATTCTTGAAATTACAAAAATATTCTATAATTCGTGATGAGCAGTTTTAAAAAAGCCAATCAACTGAAAACATGTGTCTTTTAAGTGAATGGTATTTATACTTATAAAAACACATCCTAGTATCAAAACTTCCAGGGCTGGAGGTTGTGGCTCACTGATAGAGCACTTGCCTAGCACACACGAAGCCCTGAGTTTGATCCCCAGAACGATAAACCAAAACAGAGAAATAAAAACTGCTGGCGGAAGTTGCCAAATATGTGTGTGTGTGTGTGTGAGTTATAAGTGCATGCTATGTCATATCACACATCAAAGTGTAATTACTGACTGAACCTCACTTATTACTACCCACATGCACTGAACAACTGAAATGCATGACTAGTTAAACACTTTGTCAAAAGAAAAACTAAAACAGAACCTAAATAACACTCTCCCCTGAAACACAGTAAAAGCTCGGTAGTTGTGGCATACAGATTATACCCAGAATAATCCACAATACCTCATTTAATATTACAATTACAAAAATTTTACTATGGTACATTTAAAATACTGTAAGTAATAGAAAGTCACACATTCCTCCTTCACATACTGATCAAAAGACACGTTTATTTTCTTTAAGTTATTTTTATAGGAAATAAAGAAACAAGCTTAAGGGAACAACACAAAGAACCAGAACTGAGGAGTATGAGGACAGTGCAAGCATCCCTGGAGGAGACCAGGCACAGGTTTAGTTGTTCCCATAGTCCTTAGCAACCAGTCCAGAGTGAATGGAGGAACCTGGAGAGCCACCTGTGACAGACAAACTTGCCAACACATGTGAGTAGAATGGAACTTCAAACAAGCTGTTAAGAACCAACTGCAAAACCCAAGACAAGGAAGAAGGCTGTCAGAAGAAAAGGCCTCGATTTACCAGGTGTACATACCCGTCTGTCGATCTTATCGCCCTGTAAATTATACATCATACATTATTCACAAACATTGCTTTACATCATCTAAGTCCAGAAAAATACCCTTAAATATGCAAATCTAAGCCAACACTTAGTGATAGCGAGGTTCTACTCTTCTATCTAAAGATGGCTCATAAGGGCTAATTTTATAAACCTTGGTTACTTACAGAAGCTTAAACACCACCACCGTAGGCCTTCACATTATAAAATCATTACAGGTACAAATGTAACATGTGTCTATGGCAATGGTGGGCAGAGAGTTTTCACCACTGGCTTGAAAGATTTGTTTTCAACAGTGTCAGGAGGCAAATATTTGAAACGTTTAGTATAGTTTTTTCTTTTTTACGCCACTAAGAGACAAGTGATAAACTGGCAACAGAAGTAAACCAATTTAAATATCCTTCAATTTCCCATTATAGTTATTTTTATAGATTTCACTTACAACTTCTATGAGTAATAGAAGTTATTATTTTAATAAAAAAGCTCAAAACTGGAAACTGGAGATACAGCTCAGTAGCGGAGGTTGTTTAGTAAGTACTTAGAGTCTAATGCTCAGCAGCAACGTCGACAGCAAAAGTTCAAAACAAAGAAGATGCAACATGTGAAAAAAACAGTAAAGGCCACAGCACTGCGGGGCTCAGGCAGCAGCCTCCACTGCTACAGCAATAGACAGAACCATGGCTTTCTCCAGAATTCGGTTTCCCTCAGGACTGTGACCGTAGAGCGTGCTCAGGCGTGGCTTTAGGTGTTGAGAAGAGGCTAAGTGCCTGTGGGCAGACTGTGGAGTAGGATGTGTGCCCAGGTGCTGCGGCAACCGTGCTGCACTTGTTCTCAGTAAGCAGCTGAAGGAACACACTCACTTCTAGTTACTTTTGTCTTTATCTTGCTAGGCACGATAGAACTCACAGAAGTTCTATCTGTACACACTGTATATTTAATAGATTGCTATTGTTTGTTCTGCAATGACCAACTGCTTCAGGAGAAAAGAGGGAGGCACATAACTATGAACTGCATCATTTTACTTTCTTTCCTCAAATGACCCAAATCCAGTTACTGGGATGAGAAAGAGAAGAACCCTAGCTAATCTCAGAAGAAAGACGCAAAACCTGCCTGTGTGGAGAACTTGCATTTTTCTCATACTGAGGTCCTTATGACTGTCTGGCGGAACTCCTTTAAGAAGCTGCCGTGTCCTCTCCTCTACCGCGTTCTAACGCACTGAGGCAGTACGTCAGCAGGCTCCCTTCCTTCTCCGCCCCATCTCCCCGGAGCCCTCACCTGGGCAAGGATGTTGGTGCACTGCTGCAGCAGGGACACAGGGGGGTTGCCGATGCTTGTGGCCAGCTGAACCCGGAGCAGCTGTTCCTTCTGGGTGCTGTTCCCCTGCAGTGCATGGGCGAGGGCCACAGCTGCACACCAATTTGAAAGGGAGTCCGTTGAGAACAAACCTCCACAGAGCAGCTGACCCGCGGACACGGAGTTACCAGTTGCTGTAAGCAGATGGAAATGTTAGACACTGACCCCATGGAATAACCCCAAACTCATGAGTTTTGAAAGAATGGTTTTCAACACACAAACACAATTACATACTATCTAAAACTTTCAAAACAAAAGGAAAAAGATGACAAAAAGGCATCTCCCAAGAAACGTAGCTATCCAAAGAAATACCAGAACACTGTAGGCATCAAACTGATGGTAACAATTCAGAAAACTATCTTCATGGAAAATGGCATTTCTAAAACTGGCACATTGTTTCACTACCTCCATCATCTTATTTTCACTTACGGAAAATATATCTTTATGCTATCTCTTACAAAAATAATTTTAGTAAAATGCAATTAAATAGACTAAATTTTTGTCAACCTCCAACATTTATGTAATTAAAATGAACTCACTGATGCTTCTAATCATTTGTGTCAAATTGTTTGTAAAGTTATGAAAATAGCCTTTTAAATCCATCTCAAGTAAACAGAATACTGGAGACTCTGTGAGTAATGGCTGTACCCAGTCACAGAACCATAGACCAAAATGTTGAGCGTGACTAAGTGGTAGGCTTTACCTCCAGATGCTAATCACTGTCCCCAGCAGCCCAATTCACTGGTGTTTATTACACATCAGGACCTAGGGCCACAGCTCTACCCATGTAACTGCATACGTGTAATCTGCACTTCTCTAACAACATCACCCCCACCCCCCCCCACGGAGCAACACCAGCCCCCACCTTAATAAAACAAGACAAGCAGAAGATGCAGATGCAGGTGTGGTCTGACTTGGCTCTTCTGTAGCCCAAGGAAGGCTCTCCTCTGAGTGACAGACTACCGTAGGCTAAAACCTAAGCAAAGACTCACAGGCTTGAAATCAATTTTACTGAGGATCAGAACTACAGTACTTGCCGTCAATAGTGGAAGGAAGAAGCGTTGCCACAATCTCCCCTTGTCCCTTCTGGTTTTTATATAAGAAGCACTGGAAACAGTAGAGAACGGCACAGCGCAGTACAAAAGGCTGCCTTTCGTTAACCATGGACATGAGAAGTACAACAATTGCTGGTCTGTCAGAATACAGAGAAAAGAAGGAAATGAAGTACAACCCACATACATACATAAACTACCAGTCATTTTGTGGCCTGGCCCAGGAACAAGTATTTCCACCTCCATTTCACAAAGAAGGGAGTTGGGGATAAGTGAGTAGCGTGACTTATCTGTCAACTGAAATGCTGGTGACTGAACCAAATATTAGGTTCCAGAAGCACACATCTTAGATACCAGCACCTTTACCATTGGACTATTCACAGCACACACTACCCTTAAAGAAGAGTAAGATGTGCCTGTGAGACCCACTACACCTGAAACTAAGCGCCTACTTCCTCCCAGGGTGCCGGCATGTCCTGCTTCCTACCTTGGGGGATTTGAAGGTGCATTCACAGAAGCAAAGTAGCCTTGGTTTACTTGGTAGCCTCGGATAACTTCTGATACAGTGTTTATTGTCTGTCAAGAGGGGAAAACAATGGAACCCACAGAAATTAAGTTAAGAGGGAGAATCTCCTTTCCAAAGAAGAAAATGTTACATCTTGCTTTTGTTCTCATTTATTCAATTCATTCATTCATTGGAGAGACAGGATTTCTCTGTGTAGTCCTGGCTGTCCTAGAACTCCTCTGTAGACCAGGTTGGCCTTGAACTCAGAGATCCACCTGCCTCTATCATGCGTAAGTGAGGAAGCTACCATAAAAATGGTTAGCTACTACTATTTTTTCCTTCAGTTAATGTCTAATTCCTAGGATTCCCAATTTCAACTTTTAACTGGATGTGATGGCACTTAGCACATCTCAGCACTTGGGAGGCAAATACAGGTGGATCTCTGTGAGTTCCAGCCTGGTCTAAAAAGTGAGCTGACTCTCCCTGAAGGGGGAGCAGACTTACTAGGCCATAGAGAAAAATAATGCAGCCAGTCCTGATGAGACCTGATACCCTAGGATCAGAGGGAAGGGGAGGAGGACCTTCCCTATCAGTGGACTTGGAGAGGGGCATGGAAGGAGATGAGGAAGATAGGGTGGGCGTTGGGACGGCATGAGGAAGAAGGCTACAACTGGGACACAAAGTGAATAAATACAATTAATAAGTTTTTTTTTTAAAAAAAAAAAGAAAAAGTGAGTTGAAGGACATCCAGGGCTATACACAGGAAACCCTGTCTCAGAAAACAAACAAACAAACAAAAAAAACAAACAAACAAACACATATCCCAATTTCAACTTCTATAGAGTGGCCTCTGTCCTCTTATTTACCTCAGTCAGGATATCAGCAGGAATTCCAGTAGCCATCAGGATAGTGCAAAGTTGCCGTAGTAATCCACACTGGAACATGGCCTTCTGGCAGCTGCTGGTAGCCCCAGGTGGGTTGGTGGGAGATACTAGTACCCGCACAAGCTGTGGAAGAGAATAAGATTTGTCTTTTAAAGACTTGTAGCAGGTCATGGTGATGCATACCTGTAATCCTAGCATGTGGGAGGTGAGGGAGGAGGGCCAGGACTCCAAGACTAGTCTACTTGGATGAGGCCCTGGCTCAAACATCACCTGGAAGGGCTTGAGACAAAGCCAGCCATGTGTGGAGAATTCCCTTCTGTGCTTCCAGACCTGTGTGCTGTGCCCTTCTGCCTTCTACTGAAACAGTGTTAGCACATAACACACTTTGCTATCTACTTAATGTGATTCCTCTTAGGTGATGAAAACTCCCACAGAGTCGCATCTGTCTCAGTCATTTCTGCACTCAAATAACAAGCAGTATTTGCAAAATAAGGTATATTCAATACAAAATCGAATTATGGTACAGGACAGCAGGCTTCTTAAAAAGTATGATTTAAAAACAGATGAGGTCCAAAAGCAGACTGGCCTGAGTTACTATGAATTCCTGTAACGCTGGAGATAGAGAGGCTAAAGCTAACAGCTGGAGGCCTGACAGAAAACTCCTGCACTGGGCGGGGGCTGGTCTCATTAACTGAATCCCTAGGATTCTGAACATGAACATGAAATTTCAGAAACAAACAACTATTTAGGCCCCATTCCAGCTTCAGAATAATGTTAACACATGGCTTACATTTTACAAACTAGCCATGTTTTATATGCAAAAATTGTGTATACCTAACATAATAATAATAACAACACTTAGTTAACTAAAGTGCCAGAAAATGTCATTCATGACTTTATGGTAGAGATGCTGAAATAATTAACTGAAACAGTTGTATCACTATAGGCAGGACGTATCACAGATTTTGCTTTCCTGATAATGAGGACTTTTTGGAGAGGAGCAGAGAGACCATAGAAAAATACAATGAAAATAAAAGATTTGAAAGTGATGTTTTGTTAGATGTGGTAGCACACCTTTAATCCTAGCACTCAGGAGGCAGTCAGGCCAGGGTCACAGAGTGAGACTCTACTGCTAAAGAAAGAAGAAAAGTATGACCCAACTTAGAGAAAAAGCTCTAACCTTCTTCTGCCAAGTAGATTAATTTCAGTTTTCAGTGGCTTACAAGGGGCGATTATAACTGTAACAATGAATATAAGTAACAGTTTCATCAGGGTACACTTATTCAAGGAAACAAAGATGCACTTTCATTCAGTGTCTAATGGAGAACTTGAAAGATAAGCAAACCTAAATAAAACTGGAGGAGATACTTTATAGGCACTCTAACAAGATCACTGTGGCTGCAAAGTCAGGAACTCACTGCTCCATGTCTGTGATGGAGAAAACAGTTGAATGAATCTCAGTTCCTTTGCTGTGGACTTCATGGTCTTCACTAAGCATAGGAAAGGGTCTTTTCAGTGAGGGAGGCAAGGCAGGGTGAGCCACTTTTTTAAAGTAAAAAAACAAAAAGCAAAATTGCAATGAACCTACATATATATGTAATATATAATACACAGTACACAATATACATATGTGTATTATATAATACTGCATTTTTCTGTTTACGTGATGTATTTTTAGACAGTAATATACTTTGTGGGTTTTTTGTTTTGTTTGTTTTTCGAGACAGGATTTCTCTGTGTGACCCTGGCTGTCCTGGAACTCAGGGATCCGTCTACCTCTGCCTCCCAAGTACTGGGATTAGAAGCATATACCTAATAAAGCATAATAAACTAACACTTTCTTCAAAATAATTCTAAAACTTTATTTTTCTTTCTTTCTTGTTTGGTGTTAAGTAAATTGGGAAGACTAGGACTGAAGGCTACAGAGAGGGGGTGCTAAAATGAAAAGTCTTTCAAGAAAGAGCTAAATTTATTTATTTATTTTTTTCAAATTGAAAAAATTTTATGTACACTGACATTTGTCTGCATGTATGTCTGTGTGAGGGTGCTGGATCTTGCAGTTACAGACAGTGGTAAGCTGCCATATTGGTGCTGGAAATTGAACCTAGGTCCTCTGGAAGCACAGGTAGTGCTTTCCATCTCTACAGCCTTTTAAAAAATATATTTCTTAAAATTGGCACTGAGGACCCATCATAGAACCTGTGCTTCCTAAGGTTCTCTACCTTTGAGCTAGATCCCCAAACCCTATTTTTAAATTTTTATTATGTGTGGAGGAGAAGGGAGAGGGTGAGTGGGTTATGTGAATGAATAGGTCATGTGTGTGTGTTCGTGTGTGAAGAGGGCATCAGATCTTTATTTTTTTTAAAGATTTCTTTATTTTACATATATGAGTGTTCTATCTGCACCTACACCTGCACTCCAAAAAGAGGCATCAGGTCAAAATAAAGATGGTTGTGAGCCACCATGAGGTTGCTGGGAACTGAATCCAGGACCTCTGTAAGAGCAGACAGTGCTGAACCATCTCTCCAGATGCACATTAGACCCCTTGAAACTGGAGTAATAAGCAGATGTAGCCTCTTAATATAAACACTGGAACTAAGCCTAGTTCCTCTAGAAGAGCAGCAAGTGTTTTTAACCACTGAGCTATCACTCAGGCCCTCAAAAGAAATTCTTTACATGGTGCTCTTAAGTCATAACACACTACTCCAGGCCCAAAGGGCTTCCCGCAGGCCTCCCACAGAAACACTTGCGCTTAAATGATTACTGCAGCACCAGTCACAGCAGCTAAGGTAGGGAACCAACACAGGTGTCCAACAACAAAGGAATGAAAATTTGGTATATATACAAAATATTTTTTTTTCCAACTATAAAGTATGAAGTTATGGGGGTCGAGAGATGGCTCAGTGGTTAAGAGCACTTCCTGCTCTTGCAGAGGACATAGCCTGGTTCTGTGTGAGTGCATGGTGACTCACAACTACCTGCAAGTCCAGCTCCAGGGTCTCCAGTACTCTCTTCTGGCCTCCACAGGCACCCACACACAAGCGGCACACATTTACTCAGACACACACAGATATAAATAAAAAGAAAACCACCCTTAAAAACAACAAAGTTAGCCAAGCAGTAGAGGTGTATGCCTTTAATCCCAGAAATTGGGAGGCAGAGGCAGTCAGATCTCTGAGATCAAGGTCAGTCTGGTCTAACAAACAAATAAACAAACAAACCCCAAAGTTAAGCCTCTGCAGGAAAAGTGAATGCAACTAGAGACAATCATACTACATGAACGGGCCAGTTACAGAGAACCATGTAAACACGAATGGCACAGTAGAAGTGAGGCCATCTATAGAACTGAGGGGAATAATGGCAGGGGAGAGCGAGAGTGGTGAGAGAGCAGGGGAGTACAAGGCTACCATGTGATCAGATCAGTGTCTTAAAGGCGGGCAGCTGGAAATGGCGCCTGGTAACCCGAGTCTGATGAAGCTTAAATAAAACTACCCTACATGGACCCACCTGGTGGAAAAAGACCGACTTCCTCAAGCTGTTCTCTGACCTCCATACACATGATGTAATGCATCATGTAATACATGATGTGTACATGCTCAAGCATAGTACACTAATAATAAATAACAATGAAAATGCCCTTATGTAGCACAGTGCTATGCACAATGAGCATATTTTTTTTTTTTTAAATCCTTTTAAAAAAAGGTTTTCTATATCTCCCAACACCAACGGAAAATCCTGGGTTTCCCAAACGGAAGTCATTTTCTCTTCATTGAAAGAATCCCTGATAAAATCCTATACCCATGCTAAGGGCCACATACCTGTAGCATTAAGTGTAAATTGGTCACTTTCTGTGCTGACCAACCAGAATTTTCATCTCCAACTTCAAACCAAGGTTTCATACGTTGAATATATGAGCCTTCTTTAAAAAAGTTTTGATTGGAATTGTTGTTTTTTAACAAGTTCTGGAGCAAAATCAAGCAGTCTTCCACTACTATACCTGGGGAAAAATGTGAGATGGAGGCATTAAGGCTGGTGACATGTGAAAGAACTCAACTGGTGTCCTAAAATGTGTGTCTCCATGGTCAGCATGGCATGGCAGGCAGCCTGTTCTGACCCGATATCCCAAGCCTGGTGTCTGTGTGCTCTCCCAGTCCCCCTGCGACGTCTTGATTTCTGTGTCCAACTCAGCACAGAAGCCATCTCTCATATTCACAAATAAACTTAAATATACGGTTTTCAATACGGATGGTCAAGTCCCAGTGACTGGGTTAAGACTGCCATACATGGCCTTCTGGAAGTTTGTTCTCTCCACTAAATTGTAATTCATGAACACAGGAATTTGTCAATGTCCTACTTAACTCTGTATTCCTAGCAGAGACAAGAAACAAGACTTCAGGTATGTGCAAAATAGCAAACTATTAAATATTTGTTGGCTGACTCCATCCTACTTCTGTGATCTCTGAGACTTATTTGACACTCGTCTCTGCCTCTTCTTCAACACCCCTCTCCCTCTTGGTTTCTCAATCTGGCCACTCCTCAGGCCATTTTCATACCCTCCACTGTTTCATTCTTCTCATACTTCTTCAGTTACAAATCTCTGTCCTAGGCTGTTTCATCCGCACTACAAATTATGTGATAATCACAATGAAACTTCCCCACTGGCCTCTACTAAGCGCTAGAACAACCAAGGGTTCCTGTTTCCTCTGTGAGCAGCATGTTCACGGTGCTACAGCTCTCAACCCCCTAGCACACACACACCTTTGGTCCTATAGATGTATGTTCAGTGGGGTAAATACACTTGCTGACAAGCCTGATGACCTGAGTTCAAACCGCAGGACCAACATGGTAGAAGGAGAGGGACAACCCCTGCAAACTGTCTTCTGGTCCCCACACGTGCGGTGGCACACAACATACTAAACAAATGTGAAAAACGATCTAAATAACTGCTTCTTAGAACAGGCTTATAGAAAAACAGGACAATACAAGCTCCCGCCTACTCCTCTCCCTGTAGTCCCCCTCATTATCGCCATGCATTAGTGTGGTGCAGTTGTTACAGGGATGTTTACATGCTGGGCCACATTACTGAGGCTCACAGTTCACTCACTCTTCATGCCAAACTCCGTGAGTCTTGACAAATGGAGACTCTGAATACTTAATCAAACAAAACTGTCTCATCCCTCCAAAACTACCCTATTTATCTCCCCTTCCCCTATCCCCATAACCGCAAATACTCCCTCTACAGTCTTGCAGGAAGCTGCATGGAATCCCTCGGCAGCAAGGACTTAAGATTCCGTCGCCTTTTTGCAGCTTGACAACTCCTTTCATTACTGAGTAATATCCCATTTTATGAACCTATATTCATTTATCCATTCATCTACTCAAGGACATCCTGGTTGCTTCCAAGTTTTAGCAATGTGAATAAAGCCTCTGTGAACATCTGAATGTGTAATTTTCTGTGTGGATATTAATTTTAATGTAATTTGGATAAATATGAGCAGTATTACTATTAGATCACAGAGCAAGATTGTGGTTAGCTTTGTAAGAAACAGACAGTGTCTTGCACGTTGGTTGCATCCCTTTGTATTCCTAACAGCAAAGCATGTCTGTTTCTCCATACCCTCATTGGCATCTAGCAGAGTTAGTGTTCTGAGTTTTCTGTGGTATCTTACTGTTTCTTTTACTTGTTACCACAATTACCTAATGACGAGAGGCTGAGCATTTATTTGAATGCTTACTTGCAAGCTGTAGTATCTTCTTTAATGAAGACTCTGTTCAGACCTTTTGCCTATTTTTTAAATTTGCTTTTTTTCACTATAAAGTCCTTTTTTAGATCTGTTTTACTAATATTTTTTCTCAGTCCATGCCCTGTACCACATTCTCTTAATAGTGTCTTTTGTAGAACACAACTTTTCAATTTTTTCCCCCCAGACACAGGGTTTCCCTGTGTAGCCTTGGCTGTCCTGGACTCGCTTTGTAGACCAGGCTGGCTTTGAACTCACAGAGATCCACCTGCCTTGCCTCCCAAGTGCTGAGATTAAAGGCATGTGCACCACCGTGCCTGTGCCCGGTACAACTTTTCAGTTTTAATAAAGTCACATTCATTAGTTTTTTTCTTCTCAAAGACCATGCCTTTAGTACTGTATCTAAGAACCTGTTGCTTTGTCTGAAAATTTACCATGCTATTTGTAATGGTTACTTACTAAGCATATAAACTGACAAAATAAAAGTATGAAAATGTAGGTATTTTTATGAAAAATGTTTAGCTGTCCTGCAATTTAGTATTTAGTCCAGGCTGGCCTCAAACTCAGAGATCCACCTGCCTCTACCCTAAGAGTGCTGGGATCAAAGGTGTGCACCACCACAACTGGCTCAATTAAAATATTTAAACTCAAAGGAAAGCAAATCTGGCTCTAAAATGTTCAACTTTGTTTTATTCCTTGTTGAGGCTTTCAATCCTTCAACCAAGTAACTTCCTCCCTTTTCAGAGATTGACTTTCTTATTCAGGACACACACCGATAATCCCAGCACCTGGAGGCCAAGAGGAAATTATCTCAACTGAAGGCTAACTTGAGCTACTGGTAAGGTACTGATTGCTAAGCATGTGTGAGAGGGAGTTTGCTCCTGCCTTAAGTTCCCCCATGCTGTTTCGGGCACCGAGACTTTATCTTAGCCCTATCTGACCCAGTCTTGAGGCTGGAGGAAGACTCTGTACCCAGGAAGACAGCTCCACCCATGAGGCACAGACTGCTCCTGGGAGTAGCAAGGGCGCCCCACACACTAATTGGGGACACCTGGGTATATTAAGATCATATCAGGAAAACAAAGTCCAAGAATTTATCAGGGGCCAGTGAGATGGCTCTGTGGGTACCAATGTTTGCTGTGCAGGCCTGGAACCTGAGGTTGATCCCTGCAACCCACCTAAAGAGAACCCACTCCACAAAGTTGTCTTCTGAACTTCATACACAAATGCAAATGCAGCCCAACGCACCACCACTGCTCCCTGAACACAGACTTTTTTTTTTTTTTTTAAAGAACTCGTCAGATACACCAGACCAAGGAGAAGGTAACTTCCTCACTTGATCCCCATAAAGCAGTGGATACTCAGCACTGGGTCAGTGAGAATCCACTCATTTCTCATCTGCTCACTCAGTATGTTACTAAAGGATGAATAGAGAACTTCCAATTGTCCCATGGGCTTCAAGTCTACTTGGTCCCTGCTGTGACATAGTCCACTGTAATTGTCATTTGCTTATCCTGTTCTGTCTGAAACTTCTGTTCTCCCCTTCACCTTGCTCCTGCAGCTCAACTCTGACCCTGTAGCTTGACTCTAAAGTCAACAGCAGCAGCTACAACTTTTCCAGTTTTTTGCAGTTCAGTCTGTATGCAAAAATACAGATTATCACACTCATACAGACTCTATGCTTTATTAGCTTCCCTGGCTTCTGCAAGCTCTGACCTCTGCTGTAGCCCTGAGCTCTATGTATCATATTCACACAGACTCTATGCTCTATCAGCTTCCCTGGCTTCTGGAAGCTCTCACCTCTGCTGCAGCCCTGAGCTCTGTGCAGTCTACATCTGCACACACACATAAATTTAGTGAGTGATGGGTAGTATATGATCTGTGAGTTAGTATTTAGTAACTAGGACTTCAATACAAAAACCCGTGTTGGCAAAGTTGCTGCCCCCGAAATCACAATGCCTTGGGATTATTATTCAATAAATTCTGACACTGTAGAAGACATGAACATGCTCATCTATGTTTTTGACATGGCACATTCATGATGCAGACAGACTCCTTCCTCTCTTCCCTCCCTAGCTTAGATGTTTATAGAGCTTCATTTCCTGTACTTGAGAGATAATTTGCTAAAGACAGGTCCCCTCCCTGGAAAAGGCTGGAATCTGTGAAAACCTGATATTTTATAGTGACCTTTGATTCTGGGAGTTGACAAAACCAGAAAGAAAGGGAAAATCACAAAAGCAAGCATATGCTTTGCTGTAAACCATGGTGAATGTCCTCAAGGTGAGTGAATACAAAGCAGTCTCCACACAGTCTCTGATTCTTACCTCCATCACTGTTTCCTTCCTCTGTAATAATGTCCAACAGTCTCTCAAAAGCATTTTCAAAAGCAACAATTTTCTGTATTGCTCCATTGCTCCTCGTTAGTGCCTGCAGCAGTAAGACACCCTTACAGAGAAGAAAGGTGGCATCAGTTGAGGCCGAAATTTATTGGACATTTATTCTAAAAATTACTTTAGACTCACAGAATCCTACAATAAACTGGATTTTTACAAATCCAACTGCTTTGTGTTCTATATACAGAAGGACACAGAGACAGAGACAGTTCAGCAATTTGCTCTCCTAAAACTCATACATAGGAATGGGGCCTTAGCAAAAGTTCACACCTAATAGGCTTTGTTTGTTTGTTTGTTTGTTTTACTGTATTCAGTTAAAAACACAATTATTTCATACTCATCCATCATGGTGTAGTTTCCATGAGCTAAGAGTTATTAGACCTTTCTCAGATTTGCTCTTCTCAAAATGATGATATAAATCATCAAAACCACCAGAACTTCTACAGAGTTCTTGCAAATGCCTGGTCCCCAAATTTCTACAATTTGATTTTAAACCAAGAGAAAACAAGTGAAAATTCATCCCTCATGAATAGGATACACTACACAGAAAGTTTATAGAAGGTACTTGTGGCATAGTTTCTGTCCTACATTCCCTTGTGCCTGCCCTTTCTGACTTGGGACTCGCAGAATGGCTTCCACAAAGAAGGATGGCGAGATCAGCTGTCTGCCAAAGGCACCATCACTACTCACAAGCACAGTCATGCTTCCGAAAGTGTGCCCCCGGGCACTGGACATCTGGAATTTGTCATGGAGGAGATGGGGCTCCAGGTGTGTATGTATAGGGACTCCTGGTGCACATGGGGACTCTAGATGTGTACACTGATAAGGGCTTAACAAAGTTGTCTGGGTCAAAGGAGTAAGAAATGTTCCATAGTGTATCATGGTAACTTATGGCCCTGTTAACACATTTCAAAATCTATACTCAGTGTGTAAGAGTTCTAAATGCGGAATATTAAGTAAAGCTACAGAACTGACAGACAAACAACAAACAAAAGTTTAAATAAGTCAGGGGCTGCAGACATGCCTCAGGGGGGAAGAGCACTACTAGCTGCTCTTCCACAGATCCTGCATTCAATTCCCAGCAACCACATGATGGCTCAAAATCATCTGTAATGGAATCTGATTCCCTTCTCTGAGTGCGTAAAAACAGAGCACTCATATTCATAAAATACCTGGATGGATGAATCTTTCAAAAGAAAAACAAAATTCCACTTAAATTTTTTTTAAAAGATTTAAATAAATCTTTGCCCTTTTAGTATTTTACCTCATTAAGCTGTAAAAGTTTACCTATTTTGTCATTTATCATTTAAAAACCTTACAATGCTGCTTATTGTGCATTTCTTTTCATGTGTATGGTGCTTTGCCTGCATGCGTACTGTATACCACTTGCACACCCAGCGCCTGCAGAGGCCATAAGAGGGCATAAGAGCCCCTGAAACTGGAATTACAGACAGTTATGAGCTCACATGTAGGAACTGAGAATTGAATCCAGGTCCTCTGGAAGAATAGCCAGTGTTCTGAATGGCTGAGCCATCTTTCCATCCCTATTACCCATTTCCTATTTCAGTACCACACAGCAAGTGCTTATGAGCCCCAAGGTGACCACACGGTGAAAGAAAAAATAAATACAGTAAGGGGAAAGCATAGCCACTACTTCAGAGGAAGAGGTTTAGCAAGTAGGGAGCTAGAGGGATTGAGTCCCAATGGTGGCAGGTGACAGACACCTGGCTGTTATTGTTGGCAGCTCAGCTTCTCCACAAGCTTAAGAAACTTGCAACTCACTGGGCTCATTCCAATCCTTCCCCTGATTTTCAAATTTCCATACTAACATGAGAAAGGTAAAACAGAATTTATAGATGTCAAATTGTCCTGCCAACTTAATACTGCCAATTTGAATTTAACTATAAAGAAGAAAAATGGTATCTGCAAGACAGATAAACTGAGTCTGATAAAGTGGAGAGAGCCAAATGCCCTACTTGCTAGCTGTATAACATAAACCCCACGTCTCAGAATACTTATGTGTAAAACAGGATAATATCATCTTGAATCCCCCTGTAACACATTTTCTCACTATGTAGCCGTGGCTTCCATGGAACCCTCTATATACACTAGACTGGCCTCAAACTTATGGAGACCCTCCTGCCGCTGTCTCCAGAGTGCTGGAGGCTACAGGCATATTCTAACACACCCGGATGCCAAGGAATTTTAAAGATGGGAAAACAGCATCCACAACAAGTTTAAATCAGCACTCATTAGTAGATTGTTTTCCTGTTATCATTCTGAATAGGTCAACTGACGCCAAGAAAATAGAGCTATAAAACTAAGAAATATACAACATATAAACATATATAACATATAAAACTAAGACGTGAGATGTTACAACAAACTTAATCTCGATATGTAAAATTAACAAAAGCCAACACAATCTGTCTCAAATAAAAATTGAGGAAGAAACTTAGAAAAAAAAGGGCCAAGAGTTAAAACAAAATAGACTTGAATCATGGTGGGGTGGGACAACAGAAGGTACTGGGTGGAGCAGATACCTGATAAGCTGCATAAAAATGCAGGGATTTTATTTTGGACAATGACTATTTGCTTTGAGAAAGGAATGAAAGAATCAAAGTAGGCATCTGTAAGACAGGGCAACTTTATATCTGAAAATTAAAACAAATTCTGATGACATGAACAAAGACTGAAGGAAACAGAATTTCCTCATCTGATGGCTTAATAGCCTCTTATTTAAACTGAGGGTCAAACAGAAAGCGTGAGTTTAGGGTATAGTCATATTTTCTTTAATTAAGAAATATATTTACATGAATATGTGTGTGTGTGTGCTCATTTGTATATGCCCTCTACGTGTGTGGTGCCTGTGGAGGCCAGAAGACAGCATCAGATTCTTTGGAAGCAGAGTTACAGGCATAGTGAGCCTTTTGACATGGCGGCTGGAAACCATACCCTGGTCCTCTGTAATAAATAATCTTAATTGTTGAGCCATACCTCTACCTACTATAGTCATATTTTAATTATGGAAAAAAATCCCAAATTATTCCTAGTAGATGGATGTCCATCTAAACAAGACAGTTCAAAATGGTATCATATGAAGCAGGTACAGAGACCTATGTCTGCAACACAGATACTCAGGAGCAAGGCTCGAGTTTGGGCCAGCATAGGCTGTAGATTCAGATTCAGTCTCCAAACAAACAATCTGTAAAAGCATTTGGATGTTGAATACAAATTTATTTCTTGTAAGTTACATTATTATATCATTTTACTGTCTATAATACTGCTTGGCCATCCACACTACAGCATTTAAAAGGTTTAGAATAATTTAATGTGTGGGCATGAATGCTGGGCTGACTATGTATGTGCACCATGTACATGACTGGCAGAAGGAGCATTGAATGCCCTAGAAATGGTGTCAGGGATGGTGTCAGCTGCCATGAGGTGTTACAAGCTGAGCCTGAATCTAAGAGCAGCAAGCACTCTTAATTGCAGAGCCACTCTCTATTCCCACTACAACAAAATGTTAAATGTTAAGTTTAAAATATATATCACACAGATCACAAGTCAAGGCTTTCATTTGATCCCGTTTCTGCTTTTTGTTAACCTGTTACAAAGTTCAAAATCATATGCAAATATCAAAGTGAATATCAGAATGGAAAATGACTACCAAACAGTCACACTCTGCAGGTAAAGAGATTATTATCAATAGAAATCTTTTGGACACATATTCAATGAAATAAGAATGAAGGAGCCAAGTGCAATGTATTGTAAACTTACACCAGTTAATGTCTCAGAATGTTTTCTTTACTCTGTAGGAGAAAAGACAGTTTCTGAGGTGGAGCTCTATGCCAGCATTTCAGAAGACCACGGAAGAAAGCCTAAACATATGGAAGTAGTGAATTTGAACAGAAAAATGGTGTATATAACTCTGAATACTTGCGAGGTAGAAGACAAGTAACTTACATTTCAGTGTAAAAGGTCTAAATGAGTGGCTATCACCCCATCTTTCCAAAACTAACTTTTCTTAACTCATAAGGGAAAAAAAAAAAAAAAAAAAAAAAAGATTTCATTTGCAAAGAGAGAAAATAAGCATCATGTTCTTTTTCTCTTTCCAAATTAAACTTACATCATTACGTATAATTTCTCTGGAATCTGCCAGTAAGTCCATTAGTCTTGAAACACCTAAAACATACAACCATGAGAAAAATACAAGCAGTCTGAAAACACAAACAGTGACTTCAGTTATAATTATTAAGGCACTATGTCAGGCACTTCTAGGAAATAACCTTTATTTTGTGCTCACTGTTACACAGGAGGAGTCACTCACCCATGGGGCTGACTAAGATGATTTGCTGCACTGGAGGCCCTAGCTGTTTTAAGAGAGAAGTCAGGAGTCTCACGCCAGGCCAGCGGACATGGAAATCAAACTCCTGAAATGGAAGAATTTCAACTGTTTAGCAACTATAATTGGTATTTTCTAGGAAACACTGTTTTCAATTAATAGTGCAATAAGAAACTACAAGTGAAAAAATGGAATTTCAGTGAACTTTAAAAACTAATTTTAAGAAATAAAAAGTTAATATTAATTGATTAAACTGACTAAAATGTTAATAATGATAAAATAATACTTTGTAAAACTAGAAATAAGATGCATATATCATTCAATAGATCACATAGTTTCTACAGCATGCATGTCGATCCCTCAAATGCATTCATGAGCAGGATCCAGCAAACTTCACTATGTACATATTAAAGTACGTACATGTTACTTCCTCAGTAACTCCCGCAAAGGCAGCAAAGACAGCTTATTAACATGACAGAATGTCAAGGTTCCCTATTTACCTCCAACAAAGACAACAGGAGAGTGACATTTTCTGGCTGCTTAATGAAAATTTCCGTAAACTGGCTTCCCAAATCCTCACTCTGTCTTGTAGAATTTTCTTCTGTAATATTAAAAAAACAAAGTACTTCAACATGATGCTATGTTAAAGTATCCTTTCACTGAAGAGTTAAACAGAAATGGTAATTTTTCTGGAATGTAAACAATTCAACAGTATGGCTGGTGTCAGTAATGCAATTAAGATTGAAAATGGTATTTGTAAACTCACTTTCAAGGCTAGTTAAATGTCACATTTCCTCAAAGCCATCAGATTAAACTTTTATTAGGGTAAGGGTAATAGAAATATTCTGTATTGAATGTGGTAGTGGTTATACTATCTTTGTTTTCAGTGCTAGGGCTTGGACCCAGCTCTTTGTTTATGGCAGGCAAGCACTTAACCACAGTGCCACATCCCGTCAACCACTACTGAATTCTTTCCTTTAAACTTATAAGACTGTAAAACTTCCATGAGCAAGTTTTACTTTACATTAATTATATCTCTAAATCAGTACACTTCAAAATGGTATTCATTACTGATTTTTTACTTATTAGTGTAATTTAATTATAAAATTAAACCATCTTCAGATCATCCAGTATTGTTTTCATATAGAACTCAGAGAAGTATTTGGTAATAAAAGCAGACTTAAACACTGAATTTCTTTACAATATTTAGTATCAAGATGATTAAAAATTTATAGCCCTGAGTGGTAGCGCATGCCTATAATTCCAGCATTCATGGGGCTGAGGCCTTAAGTTTGTCACAGCAACGGACTGAAACTGGAACAAAAATTAGTACTAGGAGTGGGGTGTTGTAATAAATCTAACCATGTGGCTTTTACGCCTTGGACTAGTTTTGTTAGAGGACTGTGGAGGACTTTGGAACCCTGGGTTATAAAAGCTGTCTAGCACTTAACAGCTGTTCATTCTTGTGGGATCTTAAAGGTAAGAATGTGAAAGACATACAGACAATGGAGGCCTGGCTTGTGGGGTTTCCAACAGGATCAAAGATTCTGTTAAGGTAATATGTGACATTTTGGGTTAAGAATCTATATGGGGCAAGAGATGCTCAGCAGTCAAGAGTATATGGTGCTGCTGTGGAGGACCTGGGTTTGGCTCCCCATACCCACATGGTGGCTTACAACTATCCATACCTCCAGATCCAAAGTTTGAGGGATCTGATGTCCTCTTCTCACCTCTTTGAGCATCAGGCATACAAATGGTGGGCATACAAACATGCCAGCAAACATTCATTCACATATAATACTTTCCCAAACAAAAAGGAATCTGTGTGTACTGATCAGCTGGGGCTGAAGAATGAGCTATGATTAACAAGAAATCAGGACATCTGTGCTTCACTGGGGCAGCGGGATGCTGGTCTGCTAGGGCTGAAAAGTTGCCATGATTGGTAAGAGACTGGCTTCACTGAGGTGAACTCTCTGTACTTCACTGGGACAACAGAAAAGTATTTCCCTAGGGTCAGTGCACAGAAGCTGAGGCCCAAAGGGGCCAAGCCTGTATCTCCAGCTGACACTAGAATTTAACATGGTGTAAGAGTCCCTTCATGGTACTGGCTTTGAAGGTAGGAGAGGTGAAAGGTGGCAGTGGGGATGGAGGGAGTGTCACAGAGAGCAGCTGAGGCCTGGTACTGTGTGGCAGAGTGGAATCCCTGAAGAGAGGACGAGATCACTGCTGAAGGTGTGGCCTCAGTTACAGTGGAGCTCAGCCCACTGTGGTTGACACTCTCCCCTGAGCACACGGTCCTGGGCTGTATTAAAAAAGCTAGCCAAGCATGAGCCTGCGAGTGAACCAACCAGCGGTATTCCTCTGTGGTTTCTGCTTCCACTTCCTACTCTGACTTCCTTCAATGATGGACTATGCCTTGGAAGTGATAGCCAAATGAACCCTTTCCTCCCCTAAGTTGCTTATGATCATGGTGTTTGTTATTGCAACAGAATAAAACATACAAAACCTAAATTATTAAAAAGTTGATAGAAGAGGGTGGACCTTATCAAATTTCAGTAGTCCTGAACTAGAAGCAACTCAATGCCCACTAAGAGAACAGATTTAAAGTGTTGCATTCTGGGGCTGTAGAGATGGTTCAGTGGTTAAAAGCAAAACCTGAATTCAATTCCCAGTACCCACATGTTGGCTTATAACTGTCTGTAGCTCCAGTTCCAGAGCCTCCTATGCCCTCTTCTGGCCTCCGTAGGCACCAGACATGCAAGTAGCATATAGACATATATGCAGGCAAAACACCCATACACATAAAAAAACAAAAAACAAAAACAAAAACAAAAAAACAAAACAGAGTAAACTAGTCAAAGAAAGAAGGAAAATAGATCTCATTGAATTATCCTATAACGAGGCTTCGTTAATTTAAAATCATTTATTTATCTTTTAATTTACACATCTGAGTGTTTTGCCTGTATGTACGTTAGTGCACTGTGTGTGTTAAGTAATGGTCGGTTGTGAACCACCATGTGAGTGCTGGGAACCACATTTGAGTCCTCTACAAAAGTAACAAATGCTTTTAATCCCTGAGCGTCTATGTTCTCTAGCCCCTAAATTATATTTTCAGTGCTGAAATATTTTTATGTAGGTAATTACAAACAACTAAGCTATAGCTTCAGTCTTGGTAAGCTTTGCAAAATATAGTGCAGTGGGGCATGATTGGGGTACGGTGGTATGAATCTGGTGAAGCAGAGCCTGGGACAGGCATGTCTGGCAAAAGCAAGCAGCTTCTCACTGCAGGCTTCTCACTGCTTACTATCCATGTGAGAATTGTGTAGGGCCTCCGAGGGGAAGACTGCATGTTGTATTTATCTGACTTTGGACTATATAAAAATACAAGACATGTCTTAGGACCCTTGGCACACTCAGGGATGCAGGCCAAATAGAAGGGTTAATTCAATACTTGCACCAAACATAGGAGAATAACCTATCAAGAAATAGTTTAGGCCGGGCACAGTGGTGAGTGCCTGTGATCCCAGCACTCAGGGAGGCAGAGGTAGGCGGCTCTCTGCAAGTTCAAGGCTAGCCTGGTCTACGAAGCAAGTCTAGGACAGCCAAAGCTACACAGAGGAACTCTGTTTTTAAAACAAACAAACAAACAAAAAAACTAAACTAAAAGAAAAGAAACAGTTTATAGGACTGGAGAGATGGCTCAGAGGTTAAGAGCATTGGCCGCTCTTCCAGAGGTCCTGAGTTCAATTCTCAGCAACCACATGGTGGCTCACAACAATCTATGAGACTTGCTGTCCTCTTCTGGAGTGCAGGCATACATGCAAGCAGAACACTGTATATATAATAAATAAATACATCTTTAAAAACCGGTAGTTTACTCCTCCATGTATTCTGTAACTGTAGTATATAAAATACTGTAGCCTATTATTAATTTGGCTCTATATTCTGAATTGAGCTCCTTTGATATAATCTAAGATCACTGCCTTATCTAGGGTTTCTATTGCCATGATAAAACACTAGGACCAAAAGTAACTTGAGGAGGAAAGGGTTTATTTCAGCTTAAAATTGTAGTACAGCATGAATGTAAGCCAAAGCAGGAACCTGGAAGCAGGAACTGAAACAGAGTCCATGAAAGAACACTGCTTCTTGGCTTGCTCCGCCTGCTTTCTTAGACACCCAGGACACCTGCCCAGGGGTAGCACCACCCACAGTGGCTGGGCCTTCCCATACCAACCACCTGCACTCTTGTCTACAAGCCAGTCCTATGGAGCCATGCTCTCAGTGCAGCTCCCTCTTCTCAGCTATGTTTAAGATTGATAAAACCAACCAAGACAACCATCAATTTTCAGAAGTCAGCCCTAGGACAGCACTTCCAAACTTTAAAGATCTATTTATTTTTATTTTATGTGCAGGGGTGTTTTCCCTGCATGTATGCCTGAGCACCACATGTGTGCAGTGCCTGTAGAGGCCAGAAAAGTGTGTAAGATCCCTTGGACTGGAGCTACAGAGGTTGTGAACCACCATTTGGGGGGTGAGAGCAGAACCTGGGGTCCTGTGGAAGAGCAACCAATGTTCTTAACCACTTAGCAATCTCTCCAGCCCCAGCACTTCTAAACTTTAATGCAGGGCCCCCATTAGCTAAGGAATAGTACAAAAGCTTTTAGTGGTACAGTAAAGTTAAGATTGATAAAAAAAATCATATCTAAAAGTTATACATCAAAACCACAGCCATAAGAAATTTTATCTAGCCAAGTGTGGTGGCGCATGCCTTTGATCCCAGCACTCTGGGAGACAGAAAGGCAGATCTCTGTGAGTTCTGGGCCAGCCTGATCTATATAGTAAGTTTCAGAATAGCCAGCTATTTAGAAGACTCTGTCTCAATAAAAGAAACCAAACCAAACAAAGTGAAATTATATCTATTACACATATAGGCAAAAATATGAGACAAACCATCCGGTCACACTGGTATACTTATATCACAGCTTAGTTTATCTCTTTGATCGTATTTTATATATTACATGCAACTTTCTCTAACCTGTGAAGTAAGTGATCCCTTAATGTAAGTGGGAAAAAAACTGAGACAATTGTTATTACAAAGATAAACCTAAAATAGAAAAGTAAAATCAAAGTCTAGTTCTTAAGGACTTTATGTATGTGTGCGTATGTATGCTTGTATATGTACATAAATTTTTATTTGAATATATACACATACCCTATATATGTATATATCACAAACATAGATATCTCTATATATGCATATCACACACAGATACATGTATATATATAATATATATCCTACCACTTTCCAGATCTATTTAAAGAACTAGCTTCTAACTAAACACGTATGGGTACATATTTGTTCTTAAAATGTATTTATAGATGTATGTCTTCCAGAGGTATAAACTGTTTAAAAAACACCACAGGTCCTTTTTAATGCAACTCCTTATCAAGTTCACAATCTATACTCTAGAGAACAAAACTGCTGTATAAAAAGAGACAGTCTAAAGCAGAGCATGGTGGCATCTGTCTGTAATCTTAGCACTCAGAAGGCTGAAGGATCACTCCAAATTCTAGGACAGGCTGGTCTATAAAATGAGTTCCAGCAAGGACCACATTACAAGACCCTATCTCAAAAAACTAAGTTCTCCACCCCAAAAAAGAGAAGAGAAGGAGATGCTCTAACTAACACAGTTAGACTACTAAATATCTTTACAACTGTGGCCAGGCAGTTAAGCAGCTCTCTCTATTTAAAATGCTTACCTGAACTTTCTATCAACCAGTTATGTAAATTACATAATTCATAAATTCTAGTTAGAAAGTAAAACTGGCACTTAATTCAACTGAAAAATCTATGGAGTATTTAAAAACACGACAGGGCAGTGGGAGAGAAAACACCGTTCTGTTAACTGTGTCACAGTGTATGAGTGACAATGTCCAGCCTCTTGGTTTTTTTAATCTGAGGAAAGAGAAGCAACACCTACCTCAAAAGCTGCTATGAGGATTAAGTAAGATATTGGACATGAAAGGACTCTGCACTCTTTAAGGCTCTACACAAATATGAGAAAACAATAATAGAAACAACAGTTCCTGATCCGTAACATCCCAAAGAAACAGCCAACAAAAGGGAAGACAGTACTGTGGCATTTTCTGATTTCAAGCAAGGCAGTCAAATGCCACAAAATGTGATAACAGTGGCGTGGTAAGTTAGTGTTCTGTTAGTATCAGCAACAGTTATTTTAAGTCTACTTCAGATAACATTTCATTAATTCTAAAAAGTATTTAGGAATATTAGTTAAACAAAATAAGAAGGAAACTCGGTTATTTTAATTATGAAGAAAAAAAAATACTGTTAAAAGTTACTGGAAGCAACAGATCACCAGAGGATAAATATCAGTGAACTCCAGAAATTAAGAGGGCAGTCACTGAGGCACAGCTGTGCATGTGGCATTTAAAGGGACAACATCAATATACATGTATTCTCTGCACTGGGTAATTTCCAGCTTACTCATAAGTAGATAGATTTGTATGTGTACATGTGTACACATATTCAAATACTGCTTCCAAATAAACAATCTTTTCCAGGAAGTATACACAAATTTGAATAAAGCCAGGGGAAATTTTGATTTTGTTAAAGATACTCTAGAATCATTTCATGGTATGGACAGCAGATTGTTAAATATTCCCTTTAATTACAGATTCTGACACACCGAAACCAATGTCAGAATTTTTAGCAGCCAGAAGAAACAGCACTTGACAGTGTCCTTTTATATTACCAGGTTTTATGTCTAAAGAGTCATGCATATGAAAATGCAAACTTTTACCTTCAACATCATCTGAAAAGGTAGACATAAATAAATAAATAAATAAATAAATAAATGAATGAATGAATGAATGAATGGATGAATAAATAAATAAGGAGTTGGTGACAAAGAAAGTGATCTCTATCTGTGTAAGCATGGGAACAGACCAAGAAACAGCACTCGTGGGAAGACGAGATTTCCTCATTTACGTCAAACTGCTGAGGATTGTCCAATACACACACACAATATGGTATATATTTAAGACTATGAGATAGAATTATCACTAAAGGGTTATAAAATATTCCCAAGGTAAAGAACTCTAAAGTAGTTTTTGGATCACTAGAGAATTACCTTATGAAGCATTAAACAGAAGGTACTGATTATACAACTTAAGAACACATTTTTTTTTTTTTTTTGTTTTTGGTTTTTTGGAAACAGGGTTTCTCCGTGTAGCCTTGGCTGTCCTGGACTTGCTTGCTTTGTAGACCAGGCTGGATTCAGACTTAAGCAGATCTGCTTGCCCCTTCCTCCCTGAGTGCTGGGATTATAGGCATGTGCCACTATACCCAGCTGGAACATACATCCTTCTTTCTTTCTTTCTTTCTTTCTTTCTTTCTTTCTTTCTTTCTTTCTTTCTTTCTTTCTTTCTTTCTTTCTCT